AGCCATGCTCTACTCACATCCCTGTAGCCATGCTCTACTCACATCCCTGTAGCCATACTCTACTCACATCCCTGTAGCCATACTCTACTCACATCCCTGTAGCCATGCTCTACTCACATCCCTGTAGCCATGCTCTACTCACATCCCTGTAGCCATGCTCTACTCACATCCCTGTAGCCATGCTCTACTCACATCCCTGTAGCCATGCTCTACTCACATCCCTGTAGCCATACTCTACTCACATCCCTGTAGCCATACTCTACTCACATCCCTGTAGCCATACTCTACTCACATCCCTGTAGCCATACTCTACTCACATCCCTGTAGCCATGCTCTACTCACATCCCTGTAGCCATGCTCTACTCACATCCCTGTAGCCATACTCTACTCACATCCCTGTAGCCATACTCTACTCACATCCCTGTAGCCATACTCTACTCACATCCCTGTAGCCATGCTCTACTCACATCCCTGTAGCCATGCTCTACTCACATCCCTGTAGCCATACTCTACTCACATCCCTGTAGCCATACTCTACTCACATCCCTGTAGCCATACTCTACTCACATCCCTGTAGCCATACTCTACTCACATCCCTGTAGCCATACTCTACTCACATCCCTGTAGCCATACTCTACTCACATCCCTGTAGCCATACTCTACTCACATCCCTGTAGCCATACTCTACTCACATCCCTGTAGCCATGCTCTACTCACATCCCTGTAGCCATGCTCTACTCACATCCCTGTAGCCATACTCTACTCACATCCCTGTAGCCATACTCTACTCACATCCCTGTAGCCATACTCTACTCACATCCCTGTAGCCATGCTCTACTCACATCCCTGTAGCCATGCTCTACTCACATCCCTGTAGCCATACTCTACTCACATCCCTGTAGCCATACTCTACTCACATCCCTGTAGCCATACTCTACTCACATCCCTGTAGCCATACTCTACTCACATCCCTGTAGCCATACTCTACTCACATCCCTGTAGCCATGCTCTACTCACATCCCTGTAGCCATACTCTACTCACATCCCTGTAGCCATGCTCTACTCACATCCCTGTAGCCATACTCTACTCACATCCCTGTAGCCATACTCTACTCACATCCCTGTAGCCATACTCTACTCACATCCCTGTAGCCATACTCTACTCACATCCCTGTAGCCATACTCTACTCACATCCCTGTAGCCATACTCTACTCACATCCCTGTAGCCATACTCTACTCACATCCCTGTAGCCATACTCTACTCACATCCCTGTAGCCATACTCTACTCACATCCCTGTAGCCATGCTCTACTCACATCCCTGTAGCCATGCTCTACTCACATCCCTGTAGCCATACTCTACTCACATCCCTGTAGCCATACTCTACTCACATCCCTGTAGCCATACTCTACTCACATCCCTGTAGCCATACTCTACTCACATCCCTGTAGCCATACTCTACTCACATCCCTGTAGCCATACTCTACTCACATCCCTGTAGCCATACTCTACTCACATCCCTGTAGCCATGCTCTACTCACATCCCTGTAGCCATGCTCTACTCACATCCCTGTAGCCATGCTCTACTCACATCCCTGTAGCCATGCTCTACTCACATCCCTGTAGCCATGCTCTACTCACATCCCTGTAGCCATGCTCTACTCACATCCCTGTAGCCATACTCTACTCACATCCCTGTAGCCATACTCTACTCACATCCCTGTAGCCATACTCTACTCACATCCCTGTAGCCATGCTCTACTCACATCCCTGTAGCCATGCTCTACTCACATCCCTGTAGCCATACTCTACTCACATCCCTGTAGCCATACTCTACTCACATCCCTGTAGCCATACTCTACTCACATCCCTGTAGCCATACTCTACTCACATCCCTGTAGCCATACTCTACTCACATCCCTGTAGCCATGCTCTACTCACATCCCTGTAGCCATACTCTACTCACATCCCTGTAGCCATGCTCTACTCACATCCCTGTAGCCATACTCTACTCACATCCCTGTAGCCATACTCTACTCACATCCCTGTAGCCATACTCTACTCACATCCCTGTAGCCATACTCTACTCACATCCCTGTAGCCATACTCTACTCACATCCCTGTAGCCATACTCTACTCACATCCCTGTAGCCATACTCTACTCACATCCCTGTAGCCATACTCTACTCACATCCCTGTAGCCATACTCTACTCACATCCCTGTAGCCATGCTCTACTCACATCCCTGTAGCCATGCTCTACTCACATCCCTGTAGCCATACTCTACTCACATCCCTGTAGCCATACTCTACTCACATCCCTGTAGCCATGCTCTACTCACATCCCTGTAGCCATGCTCTACTCACATCCCTGTAGCCATACTCTACTCACATCCCTGTAGCCATACTCTACTCACATCCCTGTAGCCATACTCTACTCACATCCCTGTAGCCATGCTCTACTCACATCCCTGTAGCCATGCTCTACTCACATCCCTGTAGCCATGCTCTACTCACATCCCTGTAGCCATGCTCTACTCACATCCCTGTAGCCATGCTCTACTCACATCCCTGTAGCCATGCTCTACTCACATCCCTGTAGCCATACTCTACTCACATCCCTGTAGCCATACTCTACTCACATCCCTGTAGCCATACTCTACTCACATCCCTGTAGCCATGCTCTACTCACATCCCTGTAGCCATACTCTACTCACATCCCTGTAGCCATACTCTACTCACATCCCTGTAGCCATACTCTACTCACATCCCTGTAGCCATGCTCTACTCACATCCCTGTAGCCATGCTCTACTCACATCCCTGTAGCCATACTCTACTCACATCCCTGTAGCCATACTCTACTCACATCCCTGTAGCCATGCTCTACTCACATCCCTGTAGCCATGCTCTACTCACATCCCTGTAGCCATACTCTACTCACATCCCTGTAGCCATACTCTACTCACATCCCTGTAGCCATACTCTACTCACATCCCTGTAGCCATGCTCTACTCACATCCCTGTAGCCATGCTCTACTCACATCCCTGTAGCCATGCTCTACTCACATCCCTGTAGCCATGCTCTACTCACATCCCTGTAGCCATGCTCTACTCACATCCCTGTAGCCATGCTCTACTCACATCCCTGTAGCCATACTCTACTCACATCCCTGTAGCCATACTCTACTCACATCCCTGTAGCCATACTCTACTCACATCCCTGTAGCCATGCTCTACTCACATCCCTGTAGCCATACTCTACTCACATCCCTGTAGCCATGCTCTACTCACATCCCTGTAGCCATACTCTACTCACATCCCTGTAGCCATACTCTACTCACATCCCTGTAGCCATACTCTACTCACATCCCTGTAGCCATACTCTACTCACATCCCTGTAGCCATACTCTACTCACATCCCTGTAGCCATACTCTACTCACATCCCTGTAGCCATACTCTACTCACATCCCTGTAGCCATACTCTACTCACATCCCTGTAGCCATGCTCTACTCACATCCCTGTAGCCATGCTCTACTCACATCCCTGTAGCCATACTCTACTCACATCCCTGTAGCCATACTCTACTCACATCCCTGTAGCCATACTCTACTCACATCCCTGTAGCCATGCTCTACTCACATCCCTGTAGCCATACTCTACTCACATCCCTGTAGCCATACTCTACTCTAGGGATGAGCAATATGACGAACACCTGTTCGGTTCGCCTCGAACGTGTTCGAGGCGAACCGAACAGGATTTTTTTTTGGCCTAAATTGTTCGGGGCGAACGTGTTCGGTGTTCGCCCGAACACGTTCGCCGTTCGCCCGGCTCAGCTGGCCGAGGCGCGTCGAACACGAACGTGTTCGTGTTCGACACGGGCCTTCGATGAACACCAATGTGTTCGTCGACGAATAGGCCCGCGACCAATTTTTAGGTCGCGGGCCTTGGTGTTTGGGCTCAGATCAAGGCATTTCGCCGTTGCTTAAGTGCGGATCAAGGCATTTCGCCGTTGCTTAAGTGCGGATCAAGGCATTTCGCCGTTGCTTAAGTATAGATCTAACATTTCGCCGTTGCTTAAGTGCGGATCAAGGCATTTCGCCGTTGCTTAAGCTCAGATCTAGCATTTCGCCGTTGCTTAAGCGTAGATCTAGCATTTCGCCGTTGCTTAAGCGTAGATCTAGCATTTCGCCGTTGCACAAGCGTAGATCTAGCATTTCGCCGTTGCTTAAGCGTAGATCTAGCATTTCGCCGTTGCACGCTGGCACTAGCATGGATGAAGCAGGGCGGGACTGGCTTGGGGGGTGGTGGGAGGGAATGTGAAACATTTGGATTTCACTCTACTTGGATCTGAGAAGGTCCTTTAAGGCGAACGCGAACATGTTCTGGGCGAACGTGTTCGTGTTCGCCAAAACGTTCGAAATGTTCGCCTCTCTTGGCGAACTTCGAACACCCTTTTTGGTGTAAAGTGTTCGGCGAACCGAACACTGTTCGGTTCGCCGAACGGCCATGTTAGAGCCCAGGCGAACACGAACATGTTCGTGTTCGCCATTTGCTCATCCCTACTCTACTCACATCCCTGTAGCCATACTCTACTCACATCCCTGTAGCCATACTCTACTCACATCCCTGTAGCCATACTCTACTCACATCCCTGTAGCCATACTCTACTCACATCCCTGTAGCCATGCTCTACTCACATCCCTGTAGCCATGCTCTACTCACATCCCTGTAGCCATACTCTACTCACATCCCTGTAGCCATGCTCTACTCACATCCCTGTAGCCATACTCTACTCACATCCCTGTAGCCATGCTCTACTCACATCCCTGTAGCCATACTCTACTCACATCCCTGTAGCCATACTCTACTCACATCCCTGTAGCCATACTCTACTCACATCCCTGTAGCCATACTCTACTCACATCCCTGTAGCCATGCTCTACTCACATCCCTGTAGCCATACTCTACTCACATCCCTGTAGCCATACTCTACTCACATCTCTGGCAGCGAGGCGGCCCACTGCCGTGACGAGCTTGCCCACCGCCTGCTCCGTGCGCCTCTGCTCTCCCATCGCATCCCATCGCAGGGGCGGGCAACAGCGCAGCAGTGCACCACGTGCACCACACACACGCACAGGTTGCAAGAGAGACAACAGGAGTGGTGGTGAGAAACACACAGGGTTGGAAAGAAGCAGCCGTGTGTTCTTGCTGGCAATCTTGTTCGTGGCCCACCCACAACCCCACAACACCCTTCCTCCACTCCATACTTGTAGTGCAACATCGCAACTTCATACACACGTGAATCATCCCAGCCTCCAGTGCAGTGCTGCCTGGAGTCAGACGGGCTGGACCCACCTGCCACCGCAGCACACCTGGGATGGCACCCACCTGGGATGGCACCCACCCACCTGGGATCTTAGGCCGGCGGCAACGAGCAGGGTGAGGTTGGAGGGGGTGATGGCGCTGCTGTCAGGCAGGGGCGGGGCGGGGGGCGCCATGACGGCAGAGGCCACCTCGCCCATGCGCGCCCTCACCTCCGCCAGCACCTGCGCCAGCTGCGCCTGCTGCGCGTCCACGTGCTGCCCCACGTGCTCCCGCACGAAGTGCGAGTGGTTGCGCAGCTCCGCCGCCAGCTGGCGCAGCTGCACCGTCTGCACGGCCACGTGGTCCGTGACGGCCGCCGCCACGGAGTAGGTGTGGTTCTCCAGCGCCGCCACCAGCGCCTTCAACTCCACCGCCTGGTTCGTCGTCTGCTCCGATATGCTGCCACGGGGGGGCAGCGGGGCACGGCACCGCATGGGTATCCCCAGGGACAAGGGGGAAGAGGGGGCATGGGAGGACGGGCAAAGTGCGAGCGGAAGCGCAAGGCAGAGGGCCGCAAGTCGTGTTGAGCGGCTGCGATGCATGGCAGGCGCATGCTGCGATGCATGGCAGGCGCATGCTGCGATGCATGGCAGGCGCATGCTGCGATGCATGGCAGGCGCATGCTGCGATGCATGGCAGGCGCATGCTGCGATGCATGGCAGGCGCATGCTGCGATGCATGGCAGGCGCATGCTGCGATGCATGGCAGGCGCATGCTGCGATGCATGGCAGGCGCATGCTGCGATGCATGGCAGGCGCATGCTGCGATGCATGGCAGGCGCATGCTGCGATGCATGGCAGGCGCATGCTGCGATGCATGGCAGGCGCATGCTGCGATGCATGGCAGGCGCATGCTGCGATGCATGGCAGGCGCATGCTGCGATGCATGGCAGGCGCATGCTGCGATGCGCCGCCACGTGGAAGGGCAGCGCGCGGGGGAAGTGGGTGGCCCGGGGGCAACAGAAGGCGCGAATGAGACTGCGAGAGCGTCAGAACGTAGGAGTTTAGGAGCGTGGAAGTGTGAGAGTGAGAGAGAGAGTGTGATTGTGAGAGGGAGAGTGAGTGTGAGAGGGAGAGTGAGTGTGAGAGGGAGAGTGAGTGTGAGAGGGAGAGAGTGAGTGTGAGAGGGAGGGGGTGTGAGTGAGTGGAGGGCGGTACCTCTCAGTGAGTGCGAGCGCGATCTGGTCCATGCTGGCCAGGTGCCGCGACACCAGCATGTACTGCCCACCACGGCACGGGGGGCGGGGGGGACAAGGGGGTGGAGGGCAAGGGGGTGGAGTGGGTGATGGGGGGAGGGAAGGGCGACGGGAGCGCGGAAGCGGTGGGAAGAGGAAGGCGAGCGTGGGCGTGGAGGGAGGGGTGACCCGGCCGTGGCAGCAGCGACCGCACTGGCGATGGCAGCAGGAGTGGTACGAGAATAATGGCGTATGTGCCCGTGCACGCGTGGTGCGAGGGTGGGCGGGTGGGTGGGGAGCCAGAAAAGTGACGGCCACTCACGCACTGTCAAGGGGCGCAATGACGGCCACTCACGCACCGCCAAGGGGCGCAATGACGGCCACTCACGCACTGTGAAGGGGCGCAATGACGGCCACTCACGCACTGTCAAGGGGCGCAATGACGGCCACTCACGCACTGTGAAGGGGCGCAATGACGACCACTCACGCACTGTCAAGGGGCGCAATGACGGGCACTCACGCACTGTCAAGGGGCGCAATGACGGGCACTCACGCACTGTCAAGGGCGCAATGACGGCCACTCACGCACAGTCAAGGGGCGCAATGACGGCCACTCACGCACTGTCAAGGGGCGCAATGACGGCCACTCACGCACTGTCAAGGGGCGCAATGACGGGCACTCTGGGAGCAACAGCCACATGCGACAGCATTCGTGTCATGGCATTCTGTTTTCTTCAACCCATGCCACACCAAAAACGTCCGCGCTCATCACGATCGTTCACTCACGCAAGCTCCTCCTATCTCACCGCGATCGTATCGTATCGTATCGTCGTCGTCTCACCATGAGCGCGAGGCACGCCGTCATGATGACGCTGACCGTCACCACCAGCGAGTGCTGCAGCGGCTGCTGCGCGCGCAGCACTCGCGTCGGCCCGCCGCCGCGATCCATGCCGCCTCGCCGCCTCGCGTGGCGCCTGGGACTGTCGAATCGGGCGACAGCGGCGGGCGCCCCACGCTGCGCAACCCGGCAGCTCGGCGCGGCTTATCCGGCTGGCAGCTCGGCGCGCCTTATCTGGCTGACGGTCGGTCGTCCAGCGGCCGACGCGAGGCTGGCCTTGCCGACGATGACGGACTCCGACGGAATGCTGCGGCGCGCGATGGCTACGATTGCACTCGCGCTGATCAGATCTACCTCCCGCGAGTCACACACGCAACGCGGAACGGCACCAAGCCTTGCGCATTGTGGAGGAATATACCTATCTCGCTTGAAACGATATGTCTCGTAATAGATAAAGAGGCTCAATTGTCATTCTCTGAGACTGCTCGTGGCTTGGCTCACCTAACTGCCATCCTCGTCGCCGCGTGTGATGCTGGTTAGGGGATTGGCATGGTGGTTGCGAGCGGCCGTGAGCTAAGGTAGTTGCGAGAAGCACTCAAAGCCCTTTCGAGAATAGAGACTATCTTTCTAACAATTTTTTAGGCATTCCTTACTACGCCTTTCAACATCGCCTCCAAGACCAACCATTTTTCTAACTACGTTTCCTTATAGTTTTTGGAAAGCTCTAGAATACACAAAGACAAAGCTGGTTATAATTCCGATTTACAACCGCTTCGTTACAGTTATCGGAGCTTTCGTCGCCTTCGCGCACTGCTTTTGCCAAACCACACATTGCTGGCCTGGCCTGAGTTTTCCTACGCTTCGGGACTAGCTCGAACCTCGCTGCAAGCATCGCAATAGCTAGCTTGCACGCACTGCGTTACCGTTTGCATTTTTTCGCGCATAAGTATTTGCTAATGCATTTGCTCTTACTGTGTACTTGTTTGACAACATAGTGCAATCTTCACTACATGTAAGGAATTTTTCGACATTCCTTACTCCGTTCTTCAACATCGCGAACAGCAGCAGCAGTTGTTCGCACATTACTGCTAACGGGGCTTCGCCAACTTCGCGCGCACTGTTGTAGAGGCGTGCCCTCTTTTTCGCAGGAACTAGGATTCGTTCTAAACGATAGAGCACTTTGGTGGCTCTTCAACGAGCCGTTGAACACGTCGATCGCCTAAGTACCTCCCGAGACATAGGCGTTCACGTGTTAGGTAGTGCTCTTGAATGCTAGTATAGAAGCTCTCTGGAATTTCTGGTTGGAATGTACCACGTACAAAAAACTCTAGTTTTCACTACCGTCATTGCTCGGATATAACACATATATGTTTTATCTCGTACACGGGCAAAAATGCTTGAGTTATCTTGTAAACGGGATGCTTTAGGGTGTCTTATAAAATTAAGTTGACTGTAACACTTGCAAGGTGTGTAGAAAACACCCAGATTCATTGAAACAGGCCGACCTCGGTGGTGATGCATGCACCGCCTACACTTGCCACGTGAGGGATGCAGGAAAGCTGCCACCGCTTGCAAGATTCATCTGTGCTGGCAGCATCTAATGATGCTGCCAGCGTCGTTTTGCTGCCAGCAGCGCATGGCATCTTCCAGAAGGCTGCTGGCAGCACGTTGGCAGAGGAGATGCCTCGTAGAGGAACGGCTCGGCACCTGTGGATGGGGCACTCTGGCTGGGGGGGGTAGTCGGGCTTTCACTTTATTTGGTGCTCATGGAGGTTGAATTTTCACCTCAACCTTGCTCTCAGCAGGCTCTCTAACCATGCGCAGCAAGGTACCCCTAGGCAAGTCCTCACCTCGTCCTCACGTGCATGTGAATAACTACGGGCGAATTAAATCGCCCGGCGATGACATCCGCGTAGCCATGGCGAAGAACGCGAGCAAGGCGGGAAGTCCTACCGCCGCCTCCGGTGCGAGCTGTGACGGGGACGACGGAGACGAAGCACAAGGCGACGACGCGGAGGAGGATTGGCCGGAGAACGGCCACGACGACAGCGCTTCGGGCGACGAATTAGGTCCTGCCGACATTGAGGAGGACGAATGGTGGAATCAGCCGGTCGGGAGCGACGACGAGGTGGAAGAGTGGCGGGCTGGTGATTCCGACAACGACGGAGGTGAAGATGCTGGCGGTGACCACGCGGAGGCACAGGAAGCGGTGGTGGCTGCCGACGAGGCGGAGGCGGAACGCGAGACAGAGGCGCCTGCGGATGCGGACGCGGTGGCGGAGGCGGACAAGGTGGCTGCGGATGCCGTCTTATTTGATGGTGAGGGCTCCGACGACGACCCGTGGAGCCTTGGGACAGACAACGACGTTCCGCTACTGAAGCGGAGGCTGCGCCATCACCTGCAGTCCACGACGAAGCGCGCCCGCGTGGTGCTTTCTGACGACGACAGTCCCGGGGAGGAGCGTCGCCCCCTACTCACCGCTGCGGAGAAAGGAAAGGCAAAGGTCGTGGAAGCCCCTGCTAAGTCCCCTGCTAAGGCCCCTGCAAAGGCCCCTGCTCGTCGCCGCACAAGCAACAAGAAGCGCAAGGACGACGGAGACCCTGGATCCAGCAAGGGTGCGGCTAAGAAAAAGGCGAAGAAGGCGCCGAATCCTGACGACATCATCGTCAACGAGGCGTTGGGCAGCGACGATGAGTACGCAGCGGTGGCGGGTCCAATTCCCACGTTCCCTGAGAAGGCAGCCACGCACACTACCCCGACATGGAGGCAGCGTTGTACCGCTACATCTGCCTTCAGCGCGCTAACGGGGTGGCCATCTCGGTGAAGGACACCCAGAAGTGGAGCCGCGAGTGGATGAAGAAGCATCATACCGGCAAGAGCTGGAACGCGAGCTCTCACTGGAGCCAGCGTTTCCGTGACCGCTGGAACCTGGTGATGTAGGTGAAAACGAAGGTCGGACAACGTCTGTCGGCAGGTGCGTGGAAGGAGTTCGTGCCGCGCACGGCCCATTGTATGCATGTCTTACCTTGCTCGTTGTCTAACCGCCCTTCCACGCTTCTGTTCCTGTCCCGTTTGTAGAGTGCGCGAAGGACTGCGAGTCCTTCTGGAAGTTCGTGCGCATCAACAGGGCGCGGCACAACATCGACCTGGCCCGTATCATCAACGCGGACCAGACACCACTGTTCGTGGAGATGCCGGCCGAGAGGACGATCGAGCACCGTGGCGCGCGCTCGGTCCCAATCCGCACTGCAGGCTACCAGAAGACGCGCTTGACGGTGATGCTAGCGTGCACCGCATCCAGGGAGAAGCTGCGGCTGTGGGTAAGGTTCAAGATGAAGAACGTCCCCAACTGTGAGATTCCGGACGGTAAGCGCCATGAATTCAACCGTGCCCTTGTCGTGCGAGCGTGCCCCACTGTGCTGATGCCCGTCTGTCCCTTGTGTGCCTGGCAGGAATCGTGGTCCAAGCACAGGACAACGGGTGGATGGACGAGAGCGCTGTGCAGACCTGGCTGTCCAAGGAGGTGCTGCCCCATCTGAACCCCCAGCGCGGCCAGAGCGCGAGGCGTGCGATGCTGGTGTTGGACTCCTACCGCGGCCACATCACCCAGACCATGCTTCAGTCGTACCGCACGCACAGCATCACCCCTGCAGTCATTCCAGCGGATTGTACGAGCCAGATTCAACCCCTGGACGTCTCCATCAACCGGTGCTTCAAGGTCGCCGTGCGAGCGCGCTACGCCAGGTGGTTCATGCGTGAAGGGATCCATCTGAAGACGAAGAAGGGTGAGTTGGCTGTTCATTTCGAATTCCTGCTCTGTTTCGTGTCCTTGTCGTTAACATCTAGCTGCCTTGTCCTCTGTCCCACCCGTCAGGGAACCTGCGGAGGCCTCCGCACCCCGTGGTGCTGCAGTGGATCGCGGAGGCTTGGGATCAAGTCCCCAGGCAGATCATCATCGACGCGTTCCGCCACTGTGGGATCTCCAGCAAGCTGGACGGAACGGAGAACCACCTGGTGATGTCTCACCTGCGCGCCAGGAGCACCACCGATGTCTCCGAGGACATGTCCCTCGGGGGGACCACAGGCGACAACACGCGCCTGCTCGGGAAGGCTCCAGAGGAGGAGGAGGAGGAGGAGGAGGAGGAGGAGGAGGAGGAGGAGGAGGAGGAGGAGGAGGAGGAGGAGGAGGAGGAGGAGGAGGCGATGCAGGCGGAGGGCGTGCGGGAGGTGGCCGTGGCAACTGGCCTGGAGGTGCTGTACCAGGAGACCCCCAACTACCGCGGAGCGGCGGCCGAGGCTGACCGCATGATCGAGCCTAGGGAGACGGCTAGGCATGCCTGGCGAGTGCCAGACCTGAGTGTAGAGCCTGTTGCTAGTGCTCCAGAGGAGGCGGTGACCGAGGGGGGTTTGGTAGAAGTAGAGATTCATGCATGTATGGATGTATACCCCTAAAGTAAGAAAGGTTCGTTCAGAAGACACCCCCTCTTTATAAAAAAACCCCTAAACCCCGGTTCTGATTATAAGACATATATGTCTTATCTCGTACACACAAATAGGTGTCGTATAAAAAGGCTAGCCTGTTTATAAGAGACACCCGTATAGTAGACACTCCCTGTCTACTATCCAACAATGTCTTATCCGGGCGATGACGGTATGAGGCATGCATACAAAACGATCAGATTAATAGTAAGCAAATAACATAGAACCGCACATGTAACACGGACCGCTACACTCGCGTCGCAAATGCGCCGCGTGTAACATTTCGGTTGGGGTGAAATTCGGTCACCGGATTTCACCGAACCCGAGTGTTCCTTCATCTCGAATGTTCAAATACTGCCATGTGGCACCGAACTAGAGGGTCTTCGAATTCAACCTGCAACTTCTCAAAACCTCACTCGAAAGTGAGTACAACTAGCATTCGGTGCCGATCAGCGAATCAGCGTTGCCGATCAGCGAATCAGCGTTGCCGTCACTGATGCCGCTCAAGCCGAAGCGTCCGCCTTGTTCCATCCCAGCTAACGGGGTGGTCCGACCATTCAAGTGTGGTTGTTTACGATGAACGTTTTCTTCAACGCCAACTACGTTTCGGAGGACTTGGTGACGATTCGATACGCCGCGCCGCTGCTGCAAGGACCCGCCATGGACTGGTGGCGCGTTATCATCACGAAGTCGGTGAACTACGAAACTCCACCGACACGGGAAGGACAAACCGGATGTTGGGCACCGTTGTATTTTGTGGAAGTGCCTCAGTATCGGATGTGGGAGCGCGGTGCACAGGTCCGCGTGCGAGGTTCGAGCCAATTGCGGCTTCGACCGAGGCGCGACAGAGGCTCCGCACTTGGCGCCAGCTCGGATCCGTCTAGGACTACACTAGCAGGTTCCCAGTGCTGTGCGAGCAGGTGGGCCATATGCACGAAGGAGAACGCATTGGTCGATACAACGGCGGCCTGAAACACGAATCATCCAAGAAATCGAGCTCCGCAACGTCACCGAATTCAACGACATACTTGCTATGGCGAGGAAGCTCGACTTCTTATGCAGACCAAGATCGGGTTCCAACAGCAATAACATGAGTAGGAAACATCAAACTCAGGGAATCGAATGAGCACGCCAAGATACGCGCTGTCGCCGTGAATGCCGCTGTCGCATCGTTCAAAGGGCGCTGCTTCGCGTGCCGGGAAAATGATAAGGGAAAAGGGGAAGCTGAGTAGTAGAAACAGACCAATTAGCAGGGAAACGCTGGGAGTCAGTAGCAGACGGGCCCTCTACTGTCAGGCTATCAACGGGAGTTGTGTGTTGGCCCCATCCTCGCTTGGGCGGAGCCGACTTTGTAGTCCGTTGTGCGGGGAGTGCAGCCGACCTATAGTGGGGCGTGCAGGTCGACAGGCTTGGTCGACCTGTATGGGGCCACTGCCGCGCTGCCGAAGACGGGTAGCCGGCGGGCGACTTCACCCCGATGGCCGATGAGGGGAAGTGTCGACCTGGAAGGGATCGCAGACTTGGGAGGGTGCCGACTCTAGAAGAAGGCCGACTTGGCGAATTTTGGGAGGACGCCGACTTCGTGGACTTCGGAAGGCGTCGACTTGGCGACGCCGACAGGGAGCGGCCGACTTTGTTAAGTTGGCGAGGAGTGGTCGCCGAGCTGGATGGTCGCCAAGCACGCGGAGCAACACTTGGTCGGCGTGGTTGCCTAGTCGACCACGTTACCTGGGCGACGGGGTTCAGCGAAGGTACGCGACAATCGCCCAAGAGATTCTGGCAAAGATACGACCTCAACATTGGTATCTCGAGGTCGCCGTGGCAGATCAGGTGCAGTCGTGGGCATGTGGTTGGCCTGGCGTCTGCGCTGTGCACGTGACGAGGCCCAGCACGCCAATCATCTGCGAGCATTTGTGAAGCGGGTACGCTGCTGTCCTGCGGGTGCAACGCTGTACAGCCACCTTGCTGCAGCGCTGGCACGTCGCCGACTTGCAGCGTTGGCAGGCCGCGACTTTGCACTGCTGGAGCGCGGTCGACCTTGCCGTGCTGGAACGCGGTCAACCGTGCTGCGTTGGCAGTTGTGCAGCTTACTTGCTGGCAATCTTGCTTCTTCATGTAGTCAACTTTGCCAACATTATTGCAACAGTTGCTAGTGAAACTCTTGCCGATTCTCTCCGTGAATGTGCGCGTAGAGATAACACAAGTTGCGCGTAAACGCTACAAGCACTCCTACAACCGTGCCTTCCCCCGTAGTCTAGCTTTCATTGTAGAGTCTATCACCGCATGGTGCGGTGAGCGTGGACGGCCCCGCAAATTACCTTCAAGTTAGCCGACTTAGGGGCACATATCCTTGCTCGTGAGTGGATCGGCAGTGCGTGCAGACCATGATGCCCAACCTCGGTGAAGCCGGCGGCGTTACGGACACCTTGGAGGCATGCTTGGCTGATGCAAAGAGATGCCACAAGGCTGGCGAATTGAGGATAGTGCTCCCCTTGGAGGTCGTCGAGCTGGGCATTTGTGCCAAGTGGGCGTAAAAAACACCCCTCCCGGACTGCATCTCCTCGACCGGTGCGAAACGAAGGTGGCGTCGTTGAGGAGGTCAACGCCGATGCCCAAGTCATCAGCAGTGACGGCGTGAGGAAAGTTGGAGTGATCAGGTCCACCGGGTGCCAGCGAGACGGTCGGCTCCACGACGCCGACCAGCGAACAAGAAGCCTCGCCGTTGCCTCGCCCCGTGCTGCCAGAAGAGAATTTGGCGTCCTTCGCTGGCATAGTCGACTTTGTCGACTGCTTCTCCTTGCGCGGCTTCTCAGGCCGACATGATCGACGATTGGCCGAACTCCCAGAGTCTTCCTTGTGTCGTCGATGCTGTTGTCACGATCGGGGCATTCAAAGGAGAGGTGGTCGGGGTCGCCGCACACCCAGCAATCCCGACGTTGACCTCCTCTTCCACGACTGCCATCCTTAGCCGACTTCAATTTGTTGGCGACCTTGGCCAACCTCCCACCTCCGCTACCACCGCCACCGAGCTTGCCGCGCTGCCTCGGTCAACTTTCTTGCTTTTTCAAGGCGATGTAGTTCGCCTGCGGTAGGAGCTTTGTGGACATCGCGGCCTCCTGGATCGCCTCGTCTTTGAAAACGTGTGAGGTCAAGGTGTCCTCGTTGAGCGACTTCCGCAAGCCCGGCATCACCATCAATTGGTGCATCAGGTTGTAGCCGCTCGGAAGGCCCTTGAAGACGTGCGTGATGCACGACGCCGTCGAATAGTCGACGCCGGCCATCCGCATGTTGGCAAGAAGCCGTCGGGCTTGGTTTGCATCAGTCGGTCGCCGTCTCTTGTTCTCCCATCCTTAGGTGCGTCAGCTGCTCCTCCAGCTGGCCAATGTACAGGTCGTCGGTGACCTGGTACGTCGTTGTGATGAACTGCCACGCCTGGTGGCCTGCTTCAAGGTGATCTGCACCACACTGAGCAGCACCGCGAGATGACCATGAAGGTTAACTGTTGAACGGCGGGAAACTTCGCAAGCCGCTCTGCATAGGCGGCATCTTCACATTGTTGTCAGCGAAGCACATCAGGCCGGCCATCTCAAGCTGGGGCTCGATGGACTCCTTCCACGTGATGAGGTCGTGACGACCAACCGACATCACGGGGACGGAGATATTGTCCAGCGAGAACTTGTAGTAATTGTAAGTTGGCACTATCCTGCCCGCTGTCACGTGGGTTCACGATGCCGACGTCACACTACTTCGACGTCTACCCACGTCGCCATGCGAGGTGCCCGCGACCTCGGATGACTGCACTGCCGATGGCTTTCCTGCCTCTCGGCCTCGACGTGCCGCCCATACTGCTACGGACTTGGTCGCCGCCGTTCTCGTCGACGCCGCCTTGGTTGCGCACCTGTCGAGGAGAAGCAGGTCAGGAGGGGTGTTCCGCCGCCCAATGCGCGAGGATCCCCAGGAGAATCGCCCAAGGGGGCACCGTCCCAAACTCGCCAGCCTCGTGGCGTCTCCTCGCATCAGCCTCTTAAGCCTCCAAGGTATTCGCTACGCCCGCTTCGGCCACAGTGTCAACCACGGTGACCAACATGGCTGCTGGCCTACTCACGAAATAGGTAATGCGCACCTAAGTCGGCTAATCTGAAGGTAATTTGCGGGGCCGTCCACGCTCACCGCACCATGCGAAGATTTACTACACAACAGGAGCTAGACTACGGAATAGACAGAAAGTGATAGTAGTGTTCCCAGGTGTTTTGTAGCACTTGTACGTTCACAGGGCAAAACCACAAGAGTTTCACTAGCAAAAGTTGAGAACAATGGTAAGGGCAGAATTGAATATATCAGGAGCATGTCTGTCTAGCATACAAGCAGGTCGACTTCCATCGCAGCAAGGTCGACCGCGTTTGAGCCCCGCATAGTCCGCAACGCGTCAGCGATGCGAGAAGGCGGATATTGCCAACGTTGCAAGTCAACACTGTAGCAAGGCGACTACACAGCGTTGCACCTGCATGATAGCAGGTGCTCGCAGTTGATTGGCATGCTTGTTGGTGTAAGGGCCTAATACAGTCAAGCTATTAGGAATTAATCAAACTTAATAGCTCTACTCGGGGTCACCTCCAAGGGTCACTGGGTGCCTGGTACAAGACCAGCCCCTATCCTCGGGTCCGAGTTTGTAGAGAGAGGAACCAAGAATGACTTAGCCAAAATAACAAGAGTACCTTGAACGTCGCGCAGCGTGCCGTGCAGACCATCGATCGGATTAAGCTGAAAATCTAAGAGCTTTAAAATAAGCCTAGTTGCATCGCGAAAAGTCCTGCCATTACGAAGTTATGGCTCGAACAGCGTTTGCCTAGCGTTGGAGTGCTAGCGTACTAGCATTGACTCGGGTAGCATTCCGCCGTCGAACCGCGTAGAAACAAAATTCGAGCAACGAATGAATCCGCTTGAATCAATTGACTATATCCAGATACGTTGTC